ACGACGTTTGGGATGCAATCACGACGATGGAATTCGAGATTTATATGGGCATCTCTATTCTACTAATTATAATTCTGATGTGGGCAAGTCCAAGATATGGTAGCAAGACAATCCTGATTGACCTAGGACTAGTTGGACTATTCGGTAAGTTTGATATGATTTTCTTCCTTATAGAAAGCTCAGTGCTAACTAAAAATTATAAAAAAAGGGGGATATACCGCCCTGACAACCAAGGGTGTCTCTTCGATGCTTTCGTCAACCCTCTTTAAAGTATTTACTACTCCAGTGACATACGGCCTCATAATTATCCTATTAGGGACCGCAGTTATGCAAGTCCGATACGTGAACAAGGCACTACAACGGTTCGATTCGACGCAGGTTATACCTATACAGTTTGTATTATTTACTTTATCCGTAATTATCGGAAGTGCTATTCTGTATCGAGACTTCGAGCGCACAACGGTACAGCAGGCCGTCAAATTCATTGGTGGCTGTCTTCTCACCTTCTTCGGTGTCTTCCTCATTACAAGCGGCCGGCCGCGACAGGAAGATACGGATGAGCTATCGGACGACGAAAATGTGGATGAGACTATTGGTCTCCGAGACCAAGAAGCGACCGGGTCTTACACTAACCGAGCTGAGCAGCCTAGAGCAGACGAACAGCAACCAACTTCTTCGCCGCTATCGAAGCGTTCGTCGTACGTCTCGCGAATCGGTTATCCAAATGCAGGTGCCAAATCCTTGCCTCGCCCGCAGAGCAAAGCCCCTTCAATCAACAAACACAACGCGTCAGCTCCGAGAACATCTCTTCTCCCAACCCCAGCTGAGGCATCGCCACTACTTGATAATCCATGGAGAAACTCCCTCGAGGATCAATCGTTCCATCCAGGACTACCACTTAGATCGTCAGCGGATAGTGTCCCGACGGTATATTCGATAGCTTCTGCTGCTATATCTGAACCCCCTCAATCAACTATGAGTCTTCCGCAGCCGGCCGTCCCACCATCATCTCTAGATCGGCCAACAACTCCACGTGCTTCTCAGACTTCCAGACCACACAGCAATCACTTTTCTAATGCCTTTATTTCTCCATCACCGCTGTCATCAACCGTCAGCGCCGTAGTAGCTGATGCTCTCCTACGTGGTGACGAGAATCCAGGTGGCCGAAGAAGGTCAATTCGACGAACAAGGCCTGGCATTAGATCGAGCTTGTTCGCCCCCCACAGTGAGGACGATATCAGTTCAGCAGCCGAACCTCTTCTTCAAGGTTATCACGACGACGAGGAACTTTCCTACCAGGACGACCCCTTGCCAAGCGACCACAAAACAGTCCGAGGACGAGCGCGTAGCCTGAGTAGTACATTAGGAAAGTTCTTCGGACGGAAGAAGCGGGGAAGGGTTTCGGATCCAGAATCGGGTACAGACTACGAGAGTACGCATAGCGATACCTCGAGAGTCGACCAATCGACCAATAACTAGAGCAGGCGTTGGTTGATTTACAAAACTACATTCATATTAATACATCCCCAGGCGTGCTGAAATGTCAATTCTTTTATGGGCTAATTCTTTTGTGGGTGAGGCGGAGCGAGGTTGCATTGGATAGGAGTTTGGTGTTTTCTCATCGGTATTGTCGCTAGAGGCGTGCGGCTCCGTCCATACCCAGCTCGTATAGGGCTCGTCGGAGTTTAAAGCCCACATAGATCTTTATTGAAGAAGCTAATTGAGATATCCCTTTTGTTTAGGCGTCAGAGTTTGTCGTATTTGGTTGATTTATTCTTACGTGCATATATTTTATTACCATAGTCTAACCGCAGTATTTCCGCAATCAATATTAGGTTATTGCAATGTCTACCTACCTGTCTTAGAACTTTGGGTATCTACCTCCTAGAATAATTCTGACCACCGCGTTTCCGTGGGGAGATCATCATGATGTGTTGCTATACTAAGATCTCCAAGTCCCCGCGGCACCACTATTACTACACGTAATAGAGGACTGCGCCAATAGTATGTAGCCTTAAGCTGCGAGTAATAGACCCCCTAAATAGTCTAGCTCGTGCTCATACGACTAGAGATAGCCATACAATGCCATGCAAGATTAACTCTGTCTTTTTGATTCAACAACCAATTACCTCAGTGTTTCCTCTTCGACATCGAGAGCGCCTCGTAGAACCAGGATCTACGGGGAGGCGGTACAACTAAGATGATTAAGTTCATAAAGACATATAGTCTATCATCTATGTCCCATGTCTTAATATATCAGCATCCATGCCAGCGAGGATAATCCCGTAAATATCATTTCATCCGCCAGCCGCAACTCCACCATCAGCATCCAGCATGAACCCCGGGCTCCAATACTCCCACTCAGGAGCCTGCTTGTCAACCCAGAGCATGCCCTCGCCCAGGAGATCATCCACCGCCGTCTGCGCGCGCGCCCTCGCCCAGCGCAGATTAACCATCAGCATCGAAACGCTCACATACCCAAGCACCTGCGCGGCCTCAAGCACAGCGCTCTGGTCCGTATTCAGCTCCTTGGGCACAGAGCGGATATACGGTTTACTCCCCACGCGCACAACGGAGTAGCTCGAGCCAAGCGGCTTCAGGGTCCCGACCGTGCGGAGCACATCGTCGTCCGCGATTTCAGGAGCGCCCTCCATGCGCCCGCGGGACAACCGCTCGCGTAGCTCGCGCACGCCGATCAGCCCGCCGTTCTCGCCGCGCGTGGCCCCGCATACCTCGACCACGCGCACGGCGAGCTCGAAGTAGAAATCGTTGACGCTGCGCCCTAGTAACTGCGCCCATAGGCTAGACGGCCCGGTGCTGCTGCCGTGCGAAGAGGACGCCAGCGGGTCTACGCCGATGGCGGTGCACATGCGCGCGAACTGCGCCCGGAAGGACGGGTCTGACCGGATGTCCTTGGCGTGGGTCTGCGCGAACTGTTGCAGGAGGGAACGGAAGACGGAGAGTTGCGTCTCGAGAGCCTGCGCGTCGTGTGATCGTAAGGAGTTCCCGTGGGAGGCGAATTGTGCTGATGTTAGGCGGGAGCGGTCGAAGGCGGCGAGGCCGACGCCTTTGCGGGACATGGTTGTGGATTTTGGTTTTTTATGTACTCTAGATTTGGAGGGAGGGTATAAGAGGAGAAGTATACTAGAGATGATGATATGTCCCAATTCCTCTAGTGGTCACTTTGTAGGTTGAAGTGTAGACTTCTAGTCGAGCACGTGAACTGGTTTATGCCCGTATTATTAAGGAATATGTAGATATTTTATAGTGTGAAGAGAGTTGTATAGCTACGCAATAGAGGATGTAATTTGGTTCTATAGATCAAGGGTAGTTGCTAGTATCATCTGTTAAACAGGTCAAGTTGTAGCTTCGTGATGTTGAATATACCGAGGGGCATTCATGACTTATAGGTGGTTAGGTACGTACCTAACCTTGAATGATTACATAACATACGTGTCTTATATCTGTGGGCCTTATCTGCTTATGTAAGTACAATGCCCCACCGGAAATTCTTCGGTCCTCACTTCACCTTAGAGGCTCACCTTCAACCAAAAACAGCTCTAGCGCATTTTCAGGGCACAAACCCTTTTTCGACATTTCGGCAAAAGAGACGCGAAAATTGTTCCTCCCCCATCACCAATTCGATTGACCCTCTCGTTGAAGCCTAGGCATTTTCGGTTGCGAATACCTTCAACATCCACCACCACATCCAGACAAACCCGCAACCATGTCTACCCAAAGCGTCCAGTGCTTCGGCAAGAAGAAGACGGCTACTGCTGTCGCCCACTGCAAGGTTCGTTTTTATGTTTTTGGTCAACTACAGAAAGAAGTGGGATGGGATAGGCTATCAATGTCGCCGTCGCCAATGGATGAAAGAGACGAAGAAATACGTGAATGGACTAGATGTACTAACGAGATTTTTCGTTACAGGCCGGTAAAGGTCTCATCAAGGTCAACGGCCGACCGCTCTCTCTGGTCCAGCCTGAGGTTCTCCGATTCAAGGTACGAAACGAATATTTCTCGAACGATACCTCCCCAATACGCATATCCAATTTCTCTATTATCGAATCTAGTCATCAATCCTATCATCCAAAAACCAAATAAACTTGGAAACCGTTGTCCCAAAACTCAACAGAAATTCGGGGGAGGAGATGTACCAAAAAAATTAAAAATTAAAACAAGACTAACACAAATCCAGGTCTACGAGCCTCTCCTAATCATCGGCCTCGACAAGTTCGCCCAGGTCGACATCCGCGTCCGCGTTACCGGTGGTGGTCACACCTCGCAGGTCTACGCCGTCCGCCAGGCCATCTCCAAGGCTCTCATCGCCTACTACCAGAAGTTCGTCGACGAGCACAGCAAGAACCTGCTCAAGCAGGCCCTCGCCCAGTACGACCGAACCCTCCTCGTCGCCGACAACCGTCGGTGCGAGCCCAAGAAGTTCGGCGGTCCCGGTGCCCGCGCCAGATACCAGAAGTCCTACCGTTAAACGAATCCTCGACGGTATACCCGCGGGGGTTGGGGATGGTTATGGTGGTTGGAGAAGAAAAGGGAAGGACGAAGCCGCTGGGATCGTTTTGTGGGAAAAAAAGACAGTGGCCGCTCGGGTCTTGTTCTCCTTTTTTTGCGCGCGCAACGTATTGGGACGGCTATGGTCGGTGGTCGTACCTCTGGAGTCTTAAGAAAAGGGAATCCTTTGCGAGGGCTATCTCTACTACTGATGCCTTCTTCTCTCTATTATCGATGCATTTGCATGGCCTGGTTGTAAAGGGATTAGGCGAATGAAACGACAACATTTTCTGCAAACAAAAAAAAGTAAAAGCGTGCTGGCCCGGGACTTCAACTTAATGATTTAATGCAAGATGACCAGGTGAACGAATAGTCGATCCAAATTCTTGTAATACTCTGGTGAGGTACGTCCTTAAGTGTAGTATCTTGATTCGCCTAGCTCTGTTTGACAGGAGAAACAAGTCGCTTTACATTTCAGCCCTCACGCCTATAATCAAGGTATATAAAAAGTGCTACTTTGCCACGGAGGATGGGATCTAGCAGCACCTCGTAGTCTACAGCGCCGCATATATCATGCCTTCGTAGTACATCCGATGCCCTGAACTATACAGAAGAATCAGGCGTAAACCAACCCTCTGCTAGGAACTTCCTTTTCTATTAGTTCCTGTATGATTACCAGTAATACAGAAAGTGGTGCAAGACCATTCATGAACGTCGTAAAAGATATACATCATGATACAACACAACCAACATGCCAATGCCTAAACCCATGCCTACGCCCATGTCCAGACCGAGTCTGTTGTTCATCCTACGTATCCCACGACACGAGCCCAGCCTCCCTACCACCACCATCCAACTGCACCACCACGGGCGCAAACTCGCCCCTCTCATCCTCGTCCTCGAAATCCGACATCTCCGCACTCACCATCTCGCCGTCCTCCAACATCAGCGAGCCCGCGCGCAAATACTCTGCTCTCAAGTCCCAACCCAGCCGACTATTCAGCCAGGCCTCTAGATCTGCAAACGCGTCTCGGACTAGATGTCGGTCGGGCGTGACGTCGTCGCCTAGAGCTTGAAACAGCTCGTCTAGCCGGGACGCGTATGTGGTTAGCGAGCGCTGCAGCTTGTGCGCGTTCGAGGGCATCATTTCTAGCACGTCGCCTTCGAGGTGTCGGTCGTTGTATACGAGCTGTGCGTGGAACGTCTGTATTAGAAGCCGCGCGAGCTGGGGTTGTGCGGTGGCGAGGGTGTAGCATCGGAAGATAAGGTGCGTGGTGTAAAACCACCATTGCTCCAGGCACGAGTAGTTGCCGAGGTGCATGCCGGACAGGAAGGCGAACGAGAGTTCACCTGCGAGGTCTTCGAGTTTTCGGTTCTCTAATGTCTCGAGCACGAAGGGAGTTGGGTCTAGGGCCTGGCGTGTGCGCTCTTGGCCGGATGCATTGGGACTGATGAGAGGTGCGTTCATGGGGAATGTGAAGCGGAGCTGGGATTTGCCGCTGGCGTAGAGGCGGGCTTCCTCGGCTAAGGTCGTCTCTCCGGCGACGCTGTCTTGTGTGGTGATCTGCCAGCTTCGTTGGGCCTTGCCTGTGATTCTGTTCAGTAGATCCGCATTGATCGCCGACGTGAGTTGGGACCATATGTTCTCGTTGCTTAAGAAGGACGGAAGATGCTCAGTGTCTCGACGACGAGGTGGTGCGAGAAGCACTCCAGACGTAGTAGCCCGGAATTGATAAGGCGAGAGGCTGCTAAAAATCTGCCGCAGCGCCTCCTTTTGGAATCTATCTTCGGCTTGACTGGCAGGATCGCTGAGGACTTCGTTGAATTTGTCCCACTGCTTGACGTAGACCTCGCCGTGCTCCCATTCCTCTCTCTCGGGGGTGACTATCCAATACGCGCTCCGCGACGACGTCAGCTCGGAGGGGGCAACCCAGATAAGATGCGCGCCCGGCGGGATATCGCGAAAGCCCGGAAAGGGTTTACTCGTCGAGAAAGACATCGTGTCGCAGCCTATAGTAAAGCCTGCGGGAAGATCATCTAGGATGATGACATCGCCACCCCCCACAGGGAACGTATGTCCAGAGTCCAAGGATGACTCCATGACGACGTCAGGAGTAGTAAGTGGCGTATCCAGATCCGAGTCCTCTGTAGGCTCGGTGATTCGAAGAGAGCCTAGGGGTAAAGTGCCGATGGTAGGAAGAGACTCGACGGATTTGGATTGTTTCACGGAGCGCAGACCTATCGGGTTCGAAGCTGATTTAGAAGTTGAAGTTGAAGTTGAAGTTGGATGGAAATCGACCGTCTCTCCACAATTACCCGGCATTGATGTGACATTTGGTGGGTCTAAACCCGGGATGGAAGAGACTGATGAGACTTCCGTAGCCGGCATTATTAGTGATTAACCTAGTGATCTACACTAATATGATAATTCCACGATACTGGAAAATATACGAATATGTGTTGAGCCGAATAGTGTTGATATTTGATATGTAGTCGTTAACTTCGTTAACTAAATAGATTAACTCTGAATAAAACCGCCCAAATGACAAAACACTTAAGGAAAGTCCCTAACATGTTTTTAAGAATTAGGTAGTTAGAAATAATAAGAATTTTCTAGGGGCAAGGGGATTGATTCTCAGGGTCCTTCCCTAAGTAGAATGACGTTGATAGGTAGGACCGAGGGAGGCACAAGGGAGATTATAATAAAACAAACCTCGTATTCTGGCTACGTCATACGCCTCAATCTTGTCGCATATCCATAACGCCTATGTAGGGTAGCCGCCTCATCAGACGTCACGATCGTGAAAGAATATACCCAGGTAGGTAGGACTAAATTGGTAACATGTACGACGACGATAGATAATTTCCCTTTTTTCACTTTCGGTTGGATATGCCGAATGATCGCCATTCTTGGCCTCTGAAAACTGATAAACACGATATCGTGTTTCTCAGAGGTATTATCGTGATCGATGCTAGGTATACTATGAGGGTTTATTAAGACACATCAGTCAGCGATGACTGACGCCACCTGCAGCCAGTAAGGTGGTCCGGAGCACTTTTTGCTTATTTTGACCCAATAGAGCCGCATGGCTGTGGTGTAATAGGCATAAAAAGAACTTAACCTGAAGATAGTTGCTGGATATTTAGAAAGTGGATAGGGGAGATGTATAAGACTTATAAGTCGGCCTATCCATTTGTATAATAAGACATTATGTACGTACGTAGAAACACGTGTACGTAAATGCAAGGGACAACGCTAGCAACCGTCTTAAAAGGCAACTTATACGCATATACATATAATATACTAACATTTCCCATCCTCGAAAAGGAAACACTAAAATTTAAAGAAGCAAGCCGTAAAAACAGCTACCTGCCCATCTTAGCCTGGGACAAAACGCTAAAATATGTAGAGACGGAATAAAAAAATGATGAATAAAAATAAATAAACCCAAACCAGGCCCGGTCCTTTTTCCCATGCCGCTCATCACCACGCTATCTAGGGTTACATCGAGCGAGTTTAAAAGACCCCGTCCCCCTCGGCCCGCATACGGGGGGCTACTTACATAGATCCTACATATATAGGTAGGTACATAAGTCGATAATAATAAAAAAGGGACAACCTAGAAACACATCAGCCCTTTATGGTATTAGCGGCCCGCCGCATTGGGTCTACCCGGGGGGGGAAGGGACCCAACGAGGATCGTGAAGAAGAAGAAGAAAAAAAATGTATGGTTCAAGGTATAGTTGTATATGTATAAGTTTGGTTCAGCCGGGGGGGCGTGAGCGCGTGCCATATGCCAGCGACGCCCGCATCGCGCTAGACCCCCTTGTCTAGTTCGACCGCAGTCTTCCACACCTACACCAAAAACCTCCTTCCAGCCTTCATGCCAGTCCATCTACACTATTATAGTAGAAATCTACCTACCTAACCTAACTAGAGCCCCCTATTAACCTAGCATTTTAAGATTTTCCCCGGGGCCCCTACGTATGTATGTATGTATGTATGTAGTACATATACATATACGCTTGCAACGTCGCTACCACTAGTGTAAGGCCGGTCCCGGCAGACGGGGAAGAAGAAGAAGAAGAAGAAAAAACACCAGGGCTAGCAGCTACATACCTAACCTTACCTACTAAGACATGGGTTCCAAAGTTCGGTTCGCTTATGCTGTCTGTCACTTATCTGTCCCGTCCCCTGGTGCTAAGTTGGCCGCATGGCCGGGCGTCCTATGGCCCCCAGGCTATACGTACATGCCTTAGTTATATGTACATACACGCATGGCAGGTACCGGTACCGTACCAGACAAATATTTAAATAGAAACGAAGCTTGCAGACCTACATACATAAGTTCAAAACGAGTTCCAAAGATCCAGTCTCGCCTCAACCACAGCCTGGGGAAAGCCTTATGGCCCACAAATCGCTGGGCCCTCCCTCGAGAACTCTTCTAGAAAGAGTCTAAAACAACAACATCTGTCTCGGTCGTATAATACATCTTATATATATATATATATAATCCGTATATATATATATTAGATCATACCGCTTCCCCAGATTCTGTGTGCTTCCCAAGAATATTGTTCCGTCCTGTTATACCTACGAATACATAGTAAGATGGCTAGCTACTTTTACTTATAAGCTATACGGTAGTATGTACACCGGATATTAGTAGCGTCATGGGCTAATAACGGTAAGTTTGGTGTCACAAGAGGAAAGTACTTAACATGAACAGGACTTCGAATGAGGTAACAATGGTCCGGTGGGATCGGCTGTGCGTCTAGCTTGGAGAAAATATAACGGTTTGTGCGACCACACCAAAATAAATTCCGACCTACCTGCCTACTACATACTACTACTACCTCACTAGCAGCCTTAGGAAGCCTCCTCGTCTACAATATACTAAACCACATGGATGCCTCGTGGCTACGGTGCCACAGGGAAACTAAGGCACCCTAAAATTATAGTGCGTCTTTTTATAACTTGCCCGCCTGGAATCTACCTCACAGCTTGACAGGTCCAGGTACAGGTACAGGTACAGATGCAGATGCAGATGCAGATATAAATGATACATAAATCGCAACGGTTATGGTAACAGTGGCCAGGCCCTCACAAGATTCACATAATACAAAATACAAAATACAAAACAGTACTAGATAGCCTTTACAAACACAACGTTATTATTATCCGTGTATCTAACGTAAAACGAAAGATTCTCTTGGCCTGTCGTCCTCGCGGTCTCATAGGGGCGTACTAACTCTTAAGAGCACACGAGGCCTAAGTATGCTCCTCTCCGCGAGGAACACTGCTTCTGCGCTGCAAGTACACGCCCGGCGAAATATGTAAGAGAAGAGAAGGCATGTCGGGAGCCTGAGCCGTGGGGAGCAGTTCTTCACCTTACAAGCCGACCATTAAAACAAAGCCGCGCCATGACACAAATATGTCTTGGTTCTTGAGCCTAGAAGCTCTAATCATTTGTTTCGTAACCCGCCCACCCAGACACCCAACCCAATGCAAGGCTCGTCTCCCCGCCCTCCCCCGTCCGAGGCCCCGATGCTGTTATGCGAGAAATCAATATTGGTCATCAGAATGCATTTGCTGCGAATCATCCACTCCGATTCGAGCAAGTAATACTCCCAAGGCAATGCTGTCGTAGAAATGACCATAGGTACCCCATCTCTACCATCCTATCGAATCAGAAGGTGTATGTTTTTGTTGCGGGGGAGTCACTACATATCGTACACCGGGCAGAAGGAGCTGATTTTATAAGCTTTTTTTTTTTTTTGGAATCTCATTCTTTAGTAAAAGGGAAAAGAAGAAGTCAAGTTATTCCGGCAATGACGGCTCCGGAGGTTAAACAGCTACCTACTAGCAGCCGGTGCCACCGAGCGGCATTGACGAAATTCCTCGTCCTCATTCGCGTTGGCTATACATATTCTGATTCTGCGGTCCGTAAGGTGATGCCGGTTGTTGGTAACCAGAATACATGTGGTTCGTGGGACTGTATTCGGGGAGCGGCTGCTGCGGTACAGCCGCCGACGGAGGCGCAGGGTATTGAGCTGTCTGGTATCCAATAGGTGGGAGCTGAACTTGTCGGCTAGCTGTATATGATGTTTGCGCTTGGCCTGAATCGCCTGCTTGCGGGTCGGCACCTCCATTCTGAGCCTGGGCGGCAGCAACATGACGCTGACGTTCTGCCTCCTCAGCGGCCTTCCGAGCCTGCTCTTCCTCCTTCTTGCGGGCTTTCCATTCCTTTCGGATCTCCTTGAATTCTGCGCAATTGGTATAGTTAGCACATATGACCTATTCGGGCTCATCGTAAGGTCCATTATTGGACTTTATCTAGAACAAACTAGGTTAGAGGCCTAGCCAATTCCTAGCACGGTAGCGGCGAATCCCCCACAACTAACTAGTGAAGCGCAGAATACTATACTTCTAAAGGACTCTAAAGCAAAGCTTATTGCCCCTCTTTGAGAGCCTAGGTTTCGTTACGAAGAAGGCGCAACGGAATATAAATAGAAAATAATATAAAATGGGTTTAGAGGTGATCATACCTTCGGGTGTCCGTTTTTGGCCATGACTCTGCATCGTAACGTGTGCGTTTAGATGATTAAGCGTACCATACGCCTTTTCACAGTTATTCCAACCACACTTATACATCCGCTCGATTTCTTCGTAGCGTCGTCGAGGTCGTTTATGTTGCTGCGCTCCAGGGATAGGTACAAACGAATAGACCTGCTGTCCACCATACTGTCAATGAAATCAGTTACCTCACATTATTATTATAGGATTGGAAAAAGCGACCAGCGCCCACGCGTCATAATTAGTACATTCCAAACAGATCGCAGATACAAACCTGTGATCTACACGACCTAACATATCCCGAGGTGCAGTTTCTTCGCTACGACTAGCACAAACTCGCCACCCCCCCAATATCACCAAAGGAAAGGGAGAAAAAATTACCTACCTGAGCTGGTCGTCCCGGAGCGTTCGTTGTTGGCGTGTGAGGGTATACTGAATGTGGGTGTGGCATCTGCCCTGGTGCTGGATGCCCATAGTTCGCCCAATCGGGCCGTGGCTGCGCGTACAGGTTGCCGGCGCCTTGGGGATAGTTATGCGACATATCTTGCGGCGGCGGTGCGTAGGGCGAGTATTGGTTAGGAGGCGCGTAGGTAGGGCTAGGTGCCGCGATGGAGGGATCTATGGGTACATCGCTGTCAGATTTAACCTGCTGGGACTGATGGTTGCGTCCATCTTGCATAGGCATGGACGGACTTGTTGGTGTTTGCGCCATACCTCCGCTGCTGCCGCTATGGTTGCTCGCTGGATGGTATTGACGAAGACTATGTTCTGGAAAA